TCCTCACTTCCTTCCAGTCACCTTCCTGACACGTGGGTCCTGCAGGTCAGTAGCGAGGAGAATCATGGCAGACAAGGCATATATTTTGGGAACCTGATTATAATAAATAAATAAAAATCAATAAAGTGACAAAATTGAGTAAAGAATCAGAGAAGTTAAGGTCATTGACCCATAGAATCACCAAGGTTGGAAAAGATCTCCAGGATCATCCATCCAACCATCCCCTGCCATGAATGTTTCCCCACTGAGCCGTGTCCCTCAGCACCTCTCCCTTCGTGTTCCCTCAGCGCCTCCAGGGATGGTGACTGCACCGCTCCCTGGGCAGCCCCCTCCTGTGTCTGACCAGAGATGTGGTGGCACTGAAGGAACTGGTAAATGTGCACGGCAGTACCTGCAAACTGTTCAGAAGGAAGAGAAGGGTTTGGGGATGATCGAGTGGTGGGAAACGGCTTTTCTCTGGGACAGATCGCAATCCGTGCCTGTGGGCTTCTCTTGCTAATTCACTGTGACACTGTTTAGACTTAGGAGACTGACACGCCTTTGACAGATGTCTGATCACAGCAGAAACTCTTCTGACTGCACACCAGTCCAAGGTTTTCCTCCTTCTTATTTCCTACACAGAGTTTTGCAGTCTTATGTCCCTACTGTATCAACGTACACAAAACTGAACTTCAAAAGTGACCAGGCTGTTTTCATTAAAAAATAATCCACCCTTCAGGTATTTTTGCTAGCAGCAGTCCCCAGAATGCAGTCCCTAACACTGGGAACACGTTCCTCACTGATGTGCCAACCACAAGTTCATGTCTTTGTCTTAGTGAAAATGAAGCCGTGATTATTCATGCAGTTCCCAAAGAGTCACTCCACACCCTGGAATCACTTCTGACAGATGTAAAATGCCTTCTGCTGAATTCCTACTCCAAACAGCCTTTTGCATGACCGGTTTATCAGTGAATGCAAGCAGACTCATGATTTGCAATGCTTCATCACTGTGGCATGTGTAATGCTAAGCATGATGACTAGGGAAACCAGACCCACCTATTTTTTTCTATAGGCTTACAGCCCTCCAAATCTCCCGGCAGCTACACGGGAGGGGCAAGGTGTGTGCACAGGGAGACCCTACGTGAGCTGTATCAAATCCTGTGCGTCTGAACGTAACTATGCAGGCAGAAGACAATTGATTGTCTGAGGGTGTATGAATTCACTGGTAGGGAAGATGGATAGATGAAAACATAATGTGGAGACCAAAAAACAATAAAATACTGACCGGTTCTGGCCATTTTCACTCTCCTGCTTTCTCTTTGCTGCAAAGAATGTGCTTACCTCCGGCTGAACACAGCTCTGCTGTGGGTAGTGCATGCTTGCTGTCCTTGCATGTGAGCAGCAGAGACGAGTCACTTCCAGCTGAGCTTGAACCGAGCTCTGCTCCCTGCCTGCCCCTCTGACCTCCTTGCAGCTGGAACTGCTCTCTGCTGCGTTTACCCACAGCACCTGTGCACACCCCTCAGTAACGCTCAGAAGGCAGGCACAGGCTGTTCCCCAGAGCTCTGCAACTTCATCCTGAAACGAGGGATCCACAGGCTGTGCCATAGGGGTTTTCACAAACATCTCTTCAAGAAGCAAAGATCTTTGAGGGGCTCCGGCCCAGGATAACCTGCTCGGGAGCAGAACCTCCTCCAGCACAGTGTGGCAGCAGCAAAGGTGCCTGTGGGGTTCTGACCTGCAGCTGCTCCCCCGGACAAAACAGGAGCATGGGAACGTGCCCTGGTGATGCGGTGGCTAACTGAGAGCTGGCAGTCACACCAGGAGTGCTGGTGCGGCCAGATGAAAGCGCCGTCTGGTACGGGGCACCAGGGTGTCACAGGAATGGCGCAGCCTCTGGTTAAAGGGAGCTCTGCCAAACGGCGGGGTGCTCACCAAAGGAAAGACCACAGAGCCAGACCTGCAGTCGATGAAGGGACTGAGGAGCTTTCGCTGGTGGCTGCCATCATTGTGATGTTGCTCCCTGGTAGTTGGCCATAATGGGAGACTGAGGACATGGCCTCTGCACTGTGAGATTTCCAGTATGAGATTTCAAGACGTGAAGCACTTTTTTTTTTTACCTATGGAAATCTCTGTCACTGCGAAACAAACCAACAGTGCCAAAAAAAACGGGTTAAGCAGTATTTTCTAGCGATTACAGAATAAATTATTGATCTGGCTACTTTAGAACAGCACCACCACAACTCACTAGAGCTTACAGTTGTGCATTTTGCATTTCCACCCGGGGGATGTCGCCCTTCTTTTAATTCACAGAATTGTTGTGATAACTTTTTGTGCAAAAATGGATCATTTTTGTCAGACTTGATTTGTTCTAGAGAATTAGATCATCTCTTTTGGGGAAATCTATGATTGAAATACAGATCTCTGCGTCAGGACCTACGTGAAAGATTTGTGCAGATGACTAAGTGCATGTTTTTAAACCATTTTATTACCTGCAAGGCATGCATGCAGGACTTTAGCAGAGCACGCATCATTTCTCTGCCCTGTCACTAAGTCTGCCGAATTCCAACAGCTGAGAAGAGCCCATAGATTAAGACCCTCGTTTTTATCAGGCTCTGCCGTATTTCCCTAGCTAATTCGATGTTACGCATCTCAAGTAGCTGCAGTGGGAACCTGACCAAAAGCTTTTTGTTTGCCCCCAGATTCTTCTCCTCTCTTTCTGAGCAGGAGGGCTCATTCCCACCTTCCGAAACCCATTGACCTTTGTGCTGTGCTGGTGGGAGCTGAGGTGCAGAGCCCTGCACAGCCGCCGCGGGGTTGAGGTGGGAGCAGCCCTGCGAAGGCCGGGAGGAGCGGGCGGCTGCTAAAGCCCTGCCCTCGTCACGGCACAGACGCAATGCCACAAGTTTTGCAGGAATACAGAGCCTTTTTCTTCCTCTTCTAAGAAGGATCTGTGCTTGAATAAGCAAACAAAAATTGGACCTGAGTTTGCATCCCTCTGGTCCCAGAGCTGTCCTTGCTGGAGTCAATAACTCTGCTCATGTGAACATATGATGTGGCGTAAGAACCCTCAGCTATTCATTCCTAAAGAAGAAAGGTTATTTTTGCAAGTCACCTATTTCTGAATTTTGCTATATATACAAATCTACTGTATATAATGAATCTATGAATTCTTTGAAATAAACTTGATGAAGGGGCAATGATTGGGTCTTACAAGAATAGTTCAAAGATGCTCGGATTTTGTTTATTTTACACGGTTTAATCTTCTCTGGACATTTTTTCACTGACTGCTTTCCACAGTACCTTTCAAAGTAACCTTCATTTGTCAGGATATTCCACGTTGCTAGAAGGCACTGAAAATGTCAAACATGGGAACAGAGAACAGCTTTTTCTCACTGCTGCAGCCCGGTACGGATCTGCACCACCAACTTTTTGTTTGGCTGCTGAATTCAAAGTCAGCTCAAATAGTTCACAGCACAAGCATATTCTTGGAAATACACAAGTATCCCTTGTGAATCCACAGCACACGAACAAATTGACTTCACAGTGTTTTCTCACTGGATTTTCAGTATGTGCTTCCTTGTGATTTAAAGGCATTGGAAAATAAAATGATTTGGTTTAAGAGGATGATTCAGAGTGAGATAATAATCCACAGTTGTAATGGATGAGCCTCACTGTGCTGTGCACTCTCTGAATTACACTCAGTGGAGTTTCTCCTTAAACATCGAATTACCTCTGCTCTGCCCCCCGTGCTTTCTCAGTCTCTGCAGACAGAACTGGGTCGATGGAGTGGTTCTTATGGAAACACACAAGAGCCATTGGAGCAGAAACAACTTTTTCTTCCCTGGAGCTGCACCCAAATATTTTTATAAATTTTGTTTTTCTGTAACAGGTTATTTTATTTACCGTGGCTTAAGTAATGCCAGTGAAAGATTTCTATTTAAACACGATGTGTTGACACTTTCTGTTTGCTTGTTTGCTGAGAGAGCTTTTTACCCAGCCTCACCAGAGGGAGGAAACTGATTTAAAGAAAATGCAGAGCAAGATACTGTTTTAACTGGAGTAAGTTCAGACACGGAGCGGGGGCACGCTGTCAGCACACCGCTGCTTGCGCTGAGTCAGAGCCCGAGTGGAGCAGGGTGCTGCTCAGCTGCCGGGGGTGCGCAGCTCTCCTGCACAGCAGCCCAGGCACTGAGGCCCCGTGGCTCGCTCATGCAGGAGCGGTGCAGCACAAATGACCTGCCCACACAGCGCCTGGCTCCATGCCATCTGCAGCGCCCTCTGCGCACCAGCAGAAGGGAGCTCTCTCTGTCACATTCTTGGTGGGACATTAGGTGTTTGAATTAGTATAATGAATGATGTTAATTAATAGGATGACTAGAGAGACATAATCTTCTTACATAGGATAGGTGTTTACCTTCAAAGACTCTGCACCTGAATGCTCCTACCCTACGTTCTGCTGAAGGTATTCTTTGAGCATGCAAGAACCCCAGCACCCTGCTCCACTAGTGCAGACTACTGCACTTATACAAGCTGAGCCACTTCTGCCTTTCAAGGCTGGCTGACGCTTCCCGAGCACCCAGTTTTGTGGCAGAAAGGATATATGATTAAAGTTAATGCCAGCTTCTCACTGTTCTAGGTTGCAACAGCAATTACTGTCTATGTACATACAGCTCATTCAGCCACATACTGCTCATACATAGATGCACACGTTCTCATGGCCCCGAGCAGGGAATGAGGGCCTTTGGCCACCCTTGGGCCAACCCTTGGGCCAAGGTCAGCTCACCCAAAGAGCTTTTACTCTTGGTGCAATGGTGGTATCTTCTATGACCGCTCACTGCCAACGTCTGCACCGCGTGAGGCAGCGTAAGGGCGAAGCGCAATGCTCCATTTCCAAGTGGAACAAATAAGAGCATCTGCCAACCCCTGCGTATGTATGAGGTCATTGAGGTTACATTCCTTCAGGTTAGAAAACAGAACCAGTGTGATCTCACCCTCATGCCAGTTTCTCCACATTGCAGAGTTACCACAAGGCCTGACGACACGCTGCTGCTGGGCCAGGCAGGACGGGACTGTGGGCTTGTCTGCTCTGCTGGAAAACAAGCAGCCAGGAATGGGCAAGCACAAGCAACCTGCAAGTAAGAATGCAGAACAGTCACTCTGTTTTTTCCACAGCATGAAACAGCCGAGTTCATAGCATGCACCACCCAAAAATCCTTAAATCCCTGCTCTTCACTACACTTTTACCACAGTCATTTGTGCTCCGTAGTAACACTGTGCCTTATTTATCAGAGCTTGGTGACCACATTTCTTTGGTGCCTGCTGTCCAGCTGGAAAAGAGGTGGAACTTCAGAATGTGCAGCCCTGAGAACCGCAGAGGGAGATGGGAGCAGCACAGTGGAAGGCAGCTGTAAATCCCCACAGAAGAATCGGGTGGGATTCTCATTTGTTATTCTATGTGGTAATGTATTAATTCCTTCACTAAACTCTTCTGATTATTTTTATTACCCTTCTGATGTCACTCTGAATATTGCTGTTATCCTTATAAATACACAAACCCCTTTCTGCAGAATTTTAGCCATCCAACCAACATGCCCTGTGACCTTGAAGTCAGTACACTCAATTCGTCAGTCGAATTGAAAATAATTGAGCTTTGGATGAGAAGTTCACTATGTAGCTCTAAGGCAAATACATTTGATATGGTTCAAGGTGTAAGTATGTGCGCATAAAATGAATATCATTCTAATGGGATTTGTATTTTCGTAGATGGAAGTGGACAATTTTGACAATGCATCTCCATGCAAAAAAAAAGGTGTGTTTACAAAGGCAAGTGTCAGGTTAAAGACACAAATGCTGTATCATACAGAGGCTTTCATTAAAGAGAGGAATTACTTGAAGTAGATGTGGGCAAAGCGTACCTCTGTGTTTAATTCACAATAGGCATACACAGAAGCCCACGCTTCGTCTTGCAAACCTTGCAAAGGTTTGTCCAGGCAGAAAGAGCCCTGCAGATGCCCCAGGCCTGGCCAGGAGCACCCAGCTCTGCCGGCAGCAACCTGGCCTGCTGCTGCTGACGGAGCTCATCTGCGTGGTGAGCTGCAGGGCAGCCGCAGTGCGGTAGGTACTGGAGACACTGCTCTGAGGGAAGCACCTGCAAAGCCACCGCTGCACCGCGTGGGTCTGCTGGGGCAGGAGTGGCAGCAGACAGGAGGGAATGCAACATGGCCCCCAGCCACAGTGTTTGAAGACCTGGAAACAGGAATGCATCCATTCTCCTCCGGTTTAATACAGAAGCTCCTGATCCTCCTCAAGAATACCAGCTGTGAGTTGATGTTAGTGTCGATGAATAGCAAATACTCCCCTGACATCAATCTGGATCACGTTTCATTGCAGAAGGATTGTCTTCAAATAGGCTGCTGCTGCTATGTTTAGGACCTATTTTCCATGCTCAATGATAGTGTCTGCTTCTTTCCAGAGCTACATCAGCCCAGTGTCCTGGCTGGCTTTGGGCCCAGTCCCATAAGTCGCACTCCCGTGAGTAAGCCTTATCCATGAATACAGTGAGTCTCATGTCATGACAAAAAGCTTTAATAAAATGCTGTTCTGTGAGCACAATGAAAAGCCAATCCAATCAGTACCCAGAATCAGTACACCAGGCCCTAACACCCCTAACGTGAGCACACATGTTGGGTAACCAACATGAAGAAGCCGATTCTGAAGACCTACCTAGATAATATATTTATTCTTTTCAATACATAAATCCTGAACAGGGCTCTGGAAATTGGAATTGTGAAAATAATTATGGTGATGATAATGATAAATTTAAAATGCTTTCCAGACCAGAAGCTGAGGAAATCTCTAGAGAGGTCTTTTGGTGGAGTTCATAAATCTTAACACCATTTTTAATTAAGTATTAGTTATTTCATAATCTACATTGCTTACTTAGCAACTGCTTTGGTACTGAGTATGCCATCCTGGCTACCTACGTTTTTGCCGTAGGCCAGGATCTCAGAACTCCATTTGTATCATCTGTCATCCCCAATCTGCCTACATTGCTATTCTATAGCTGCAGATCTCAAGATGATGAGCAATGCTGGATATTCATCAACCTTATTTAAAAAATGGAGTAACTATGATGTAATGAGATTAAGAAATTTGGTTGATGCCATTGAGCGCATTAGCATCCATACAAAGATTAGAAGACATTTCCCTATTCCTGGCACTGCTCGTAACCCCCCGGATATGAGGGCCCGAGCCACTTCTTACTGCCATTTGCTGTTTCAGCAAACTGGGGCACTGAAGGAGGCATTAATTCACTCTTCAGGGGTTTTAAGAAACTTTTATATGACTGAAAGAGGACTTCAGATGCCTCGAAGAAGCGAGAATGCTGGCACTAGCATGGCACTCCAGGGACTGAAACTCAGTCTGCAAAAGCTCATACGAATTCAAAAGAAGGAGAATTGTATTTATGGAGAACTGATGCTCTGCATATAGAAGTGTGTGTTTTGGTAGACACTGTGAGCTTCAGGAAGCCATTGAGGGGAATAAAATACAAATATACAGCCATGATATTTTATGATATTTCCTTTCTTAGGCCTTTTTGGAGGTTATCACATCTTTGGTGGGTATTTGGCATAGGGTTAAGTGAACTCATGAGGAAAATGTAAAGGGAGGAAATTGAAGCAACTGATTATGCAGATTCTGTAATTTTCATAATTATCCACTGGGGACTTCTCAGGTCCTTTGTGTTACAGAAGTCAGGTTTTGCAGTCAGAATGTACACAGTCTCTATGACTTCCATGTGATAGTGCAGTTGTTCCAGACAGATATCTATTCAGTCAAGAGCAAAAAATGATGTTAGCTGTATTCAGTGAATTTGGAAGTACCGTTGACATCAAAGTTCTTTGCCTCTGGTGGGTTTTTTTAAGCACCCATACAAAGCACTATTTTAAATTTTTAAGAAACTCAAATATAAGATATGAAGGCAAATGCTGCTACATTATTCTATTCTTTTAGAATTTTTGAACATAAGCTTACAGTTCTAACACATCATTAACGTCCATGCCTTCCATGATGTTCTGGAACTTTCTCTTTGCAACACAGCATGGAAAAGGCTGAGGATAAGTGGTTGCAAGTTTACAGATTGTAAGAGATGTGATGTGAGCTCGTAATTCAGGTTCTGTGTCATCTGTGGGAAAAACCATAGAATGCTCATCGCTACTCCTCGCACACACCCAGATGTGGTATCAGATTCTGATCTCTTTAATCATTAAAACTTTTCATTATTATTTGAATCAGCGCGCTGTCTGGAGAGATTCTTGCAGAGCAGAATGTTACTTTGCTGTGTGTTCCCACCTCCTGCTCTGCACTGGTAAATGTCTGAAAGACGAGTTATTATGTGATATTCCGTGTAAATCTGACTTCAAAAGCAGATGAAGGATTGTCTTGCAGTCACGCTCCTACCACCAGCACTCTGTCATAAAGCTTTTTCTTTGACAGCCAAGTGGGCAAGTACTCGTAACTGCTGCCCAGTGGAGCTCCCCTGAGTTGGGCTGGGGGTCAGTGGGGACAGCGAGGGTGTGGTTTTTCATTCTTGTATTTCTGCAAGATGATTTTGAAAGGTGTTGTCTAACAATTTACAGATCACAGACAGGGTTAGAGGGTTCCTACTTGTGTGAAACTCTATGATTCATGGAAAGATGCAATACGCCTTACACGTTCTACAGGATGAAGTCATTAGAACCCATCACATCATTTTAGCATCTGATAGCATTAGCTTTCAAAACGTGTGCTTAGATTAGCTTGCAGAAAGTGTAAACTCATAGGCTTCTGTGGCAACTCTACTGTCTGATGAGAAAAGTGGGAGCTCGGTGCAGAAGCATTGGACTGCATCACAGGGAGCGTGGCCAGCAGGTCGAGGAGGTGATCCTGCCCTCTGCTCTGTGCTGTGGGGCCTCACCTGGAGCACTTCATCCAGATGTGGAGACCTCAGGGCAAGAGAGACACAGAGCTGTTAGAGTGTGTCTGGAGGAGGGCCACAAAAATGATGTCAGGGATGGAACACCTCTCCTGCCCTGGGGACAGGCTGAGAGCTGGGGCTGTGCAGAATGGAGAGGGGAAGGCGCTGGGGAGACCTGAGAGCAGCCTGTCAGTACCTAAAGGAGCTGTAAGACAAAGGGGACAGACTCATTAACAGGATGTGTTGTGACAGGACAAGGGGAAATGGTTTCAAACTGAAGAAGGGCAGATTTAGGCTGGATATAAGGAAGAAGTTTTTTTACAAATGGGTGGTGGGGCACTGGCACAGGTTGCTCAGAGGTGAGTGGTTGTCCCATCCCTGCAGACAGCCAAGACAGCCTGCATGGGGCTCTGAGCACCTGATGGAGCAGCGGGTCCCCTTTCACTGCAGAAGAGTTGAACTGGATGATCTCTAGGTGTCTCAAAAAAAAAAGGGCCAGAGAACCAATTGTGGCTAATCAGTGTCCCATATGACATGGCAGCAATACATCTGTCAAAAATTACTCAGAACCTAAATATGTAAAAGTTCCCACGCACCTTTATTTATCTAGCTGTAATCTTTGTTCTTGAATGTGTGCTTACCAAAGAAAAAGGGGAAGAAAAGGCACTGTGTGTGTTTGAGTGAAATGTGAGGGGCACACGTACTGATCCACCTTTGAACCTGCGTATCTCCCCTATTTCAGCTGGGTGTTGTCTCAGCTTGAGATCCAGAGCACAGACACCAGCACACCAAGCAACCGGGGCTTCCTGGGGAATTCATTTAAATAGGCTGTCTCCAATTATTGTAGAGTTGCAACTGCTTTAATGTCCACTCTGTAACATCTCTCTCACCTTAGGAAGACAAACTTTCTACTCCACACTTCCTTACTCCTGTGCTACAAGCACTGCATGAAGACGTGCCCTGTAGGATCTCACTACTGCCAACTGATCTATGACTATAGATCAAGTCGTGCCATGGGATATTTAAAGCCTCTCACCGGCTGTTTGCAACCTGTGTACATCTTTTTTTCTTAGATAACACCCAGTGTTAATGAAAAAACCAATGCCCAGCCGTTATTTGTGCTTTTAGTGAAGGATAATAGGTACCTTTTCGCCAGACGGAAAGATTAAAAAGGCATACAAAGTTATCAAAGAGTTTATCGAACTACTCGAGTGGTAAAAATGGACATCTTTACTCAAAATGGATTTGAAATGTATGAGGGAATGTGCTGCTGAACTCCAGAAAACCATCCACATTGCGCTTTTAATTAGGTTAAATGAAACCTGATCCAGGTTCCACTTGGTCGTTAGACTGGAATGCTGAAAATGCTGTAATCTACTTATACATCATATTGAAGAAGTTTTCTGTTTCTTTAAATTTCACTGCATTACAATGTGTTAAGTAAATAACCATGATTCACAAACTGACAGAGAAAGAGAAGACGTACCAACCCAGTTTATTTATCACAAAGCCAGGATTTAGCTACTGTCTTTAAAACTAAATACCAAAACCAGATCTGCTCTATATGCAACCATCAACATCGGTCTTGAAAACTTGAGAAGAAAGTTTCTGCCATTATCAGCTCAGATAATAAAGACCGAAAGAGAAAATGATTGCAGTCTCAGCTGCATAAGGATATGATCTGAATGTGTACGTTTGGTGGCCCTGCTGGGCAGGGGGATTGGAACTACATGATCCTTGAGGTCCCTTCCAACACGGGTGATTCTGTGATTCTGTGATTCTGTGATATCTCCATAGATTTTGTAAGTTACAGCAGAGGAGATGTGGGCTGATGGGGCGTTCACCTCTGCTGAGCGGGTGCAGTGCCATAATCCCCTTCCATGAAACTGTGGAATAGAGAGCAGTTTTATTTTAATTCTGGATGTTGAGCGTGTTGTGTATGACAGAGATGTTCTGAAATACGTGGTTGCTTGGCCATATATTCATAGTTGCTTATTACCATAGATCCCGAAGGAAGCTCTGTCTTAGGAGTCAGTAAAACCAGGAATACAGCAGAAACAACCGAGAAACAGATGTTGCCTTCTCTGAAAGTGTCCCAGTGCCTGGGAACTGCCTCCTAATCACTTCAAAGTAGATGGTTTTTAGCATCAACGGCATGCTGTGCTTCCAAACTCGGTTTACTGATCGGATTCAATTTCGACTTTCTACCTCAAAACCTCAAATGATTCAAAACACAGCAACAAGCAAGGTTGAGAACAACAATGTAAATGAGAGCAGCCAAATCAAACAGAGGAAAATCTCACAGGGGCTTTCGCAGCCCAGGAGTAATTGAAAATAGCTTCCTATTAACAAAAAAACCCAGATTGTCCCATGAAACAGCTCTTTCTGGGCTACTGTTCCAGATTATGCTGTAATTTGCCTTAATTATTTACACAATGCTTCAGGTGTGTGCAGTGCTCTTTGGCACACTGAACTGAACAGAGGAAAAGCCCTTCCCCAGCCAGCTCCCAGCCAGCACATCATGTGCAGCACCAGGCAGGATGGAAAAAGTAAATGTACCTGGCTGCTAATCTGTGCAAATATTCCTGTCAGTTTTTGACATGATTTATTTAAGTAAAACACAGCTCTCATTGACATTCACTGGTTTTGTGATTGACTTGAAAGGAGTCGGGATTGTGCTAACAGCTGATGAGGTTTCATAACATTTATTCATTTCCATTTGCAATTGAAACGTGTTTCCATGTTTGCAAAGGCTTCCATCTGCTCTCTGTAGTTGGTCAGAGTCTTTTGTTTTATTGGTTGTTGTATTTAGTGCTTACTGTTTCCAATTAACACTGCAAGGACAAAAAAAAAAAAAGAACAATTTTGTATGGGTCGGGAAAAAGGAAATTTCCATGATTTTTGTCACATGAGACTTTAAAAAGAGCCTGAAGCTAAATACTGCAACTACTGTTCACTGGTTCTCTTTATAGTTAGTGGTCTTTATAAATGCAAAAACCCTACTTAGACATTCAGGTAATTCATTTGCCCTTTCCTGCACCCTTCTTCCCTCTGGCAGACTGTAACCTGGAATTTGTCGTCCAGGTCTTGCAGTCCATGTATTACAGGGGGAATTCAAAAGGAGTTGAAATCCAAATTATGATTGCATCTCAGCACATTTGAGATTGTTTGTGATAATTAAGATGAGTTTTAAAAGCAAGAATTTGGAAGTATGTCTTACAGTCTAACACTACTTAATGAATTGTAAAACACAGTTTACAGTGAAAAAAGGATTTTCGGATGTTCTTAAGTTTAAGATGCTAACTTAGGATCTGGATGAGGAACTGGGTGAAATGGAGTGCGCCCTTAAAATAGTGAAAGTTGTACTGCAGGAAAACACCAACCCAGGTGTAAGGCTGAAGTTCAAAAATGGGCCCCTGAACTTTTTCTACTGACTACAACAAAACCAGTACTTTATTACTTGTGCAGATGCCCTATTTGTTAGGTCACACTGCTTCCCAAGTAATCTTCAACAGCAATCACCCAGTGTTATTAAAGGCTAAGAAACTGAAATCCATGAACTCTGTATACCAATAAATTGTCCGACTCCCTTTGGTAATTCCTATAGCTTTCTTCTAAGAGTATTGTACTTCAATGTTATCACTGGGGATCTTCAAAAATCTAAGTTCACATGTTCACCTACGAGCATATTTATTTGTTTTCACACATTCATGCACAGACCTGAGAGTGTGAATGTCGGTGTGGCCTCTCTGAGTTCGTAGGGTTTCCAGCGAACAACTTGTAACTGCCTGGGTGATGCACAGCCTCCTGCTGTGAGCAGGGAGACGGGCTGCCTTTTCCCATTTAGAATGGTGTGAACAAGCAGAACGTTCTAGTGCAGTTTTTATCCAGTGCGTACCGGTGGTCAGTGTGTGACTCTATGGCAGAGGAACTTGAGGTTTGGTCTCCTGTTATCTACGATAGCACTGCTGAGTTGTGTGAAGGACGTGTGCCTTTTGCATGACAGGTACATGGTCCTTAAATGGCAACAGATGTAAATCTACCTTCAGCCCCCAAAGTATGGTATGGTATGTTATATTGTGTTGTGCTGTGTTGTGTTATATCGTACTATATTACATTATATTATATACCATTAGCCTTCTCATTGCTGCCGAGGTGATGGTCTCAGTGAGATGTTTCATGGTAGAAGAGGATGCAGACTGTGAAGAACTACACAAACCTGTGATCCAGCACAGGGACACTGACCCTGGCTGTGCTGCCCTCCCCGTTGCCTGCTAAACCCACCCCTGGCAGACCTCAGCACAGCAGGAACATCGCACACACATGCAGAAAATATTACAGTCGTGTACAGTTGACACTCACATAAACACAAACAGAAATCATGTGGGAATTTCTTTTAATGAACAGCAGCAGATGTTTTTCTTGCAGGCAAAAGAGGAACAAATACATGCTTGACACTTAATAAAAACATCAGTGTGTTTGTGCCCAATACACTAAAATACTGTTCAGCAATAATTCCACCTTGCAAAAATATTATCAGTGTAATGCTGCCAAGGCCGTTGTGTGTATCTTGGCCAACCTGGACATGGGCTGTAGCAATTTTTATGTTTGACTTTTCAGAAACCTCTCTGTTTTGTTAGTCAATCAGTTTATCTTGCTCATTCTGTTCCTCATCCCTTGCCTATTTTACCCCTTATTAATCTCTCTTTCTCCTTTGCCAGACCATGCAAAATGTCATCCAAATTGGCCATTCTTCATTACACTTCAGGTTACATTAGAACATTCATACATACACAGTTCACAGAGTGGACTCCTCCAATACAGAGTTCCTTTCCTGTGTCAAATGATACCTGGTTGGCTTGCAGAGCAAGGAGCACTAATGGCAGGGTTAAGGTCTGACACCCATTAAGGTTTGACACCATGTCAAAAATACACTCTCATGGACATAACGCGTTTCTTATGCTGAAAATTAACATTTAAACATTATAATTTGGTATTGAGATGATATTCCACATTTTAAAATATATTGTACTTTGTGCATTACCTTTTCTTTCTAATGTTGGTGTATGTGAAATCATACTGTAAAGAAGGTGCAGAAAACAAAGGAATGTATGTTGGAGGGAACTTGGTTGGGAGGAATTGTTTGGGAAGTTTGGGGAATTGTCTTTTTCCTCTTCAAAGCCAGGGTTTAATAGGAAAGATGAGTCCTAAGAATGCAGACTCAATCAGAGGACTAGAGGAAGTGAAACAGATGGCAGCAAGCAGAAGATAAAGAATATGCTTTATTCTCCAGTGGGAACCTGGTGGAAGCTGTGCCAGAAGGTGTTGCCTGGCAGAACACATCACCAGGAGTGAAAGCTCCTTTCTATCAGAAGGAGAGCCAAGAATTAGAAATGGAGCTCAGATAGGAATTCAAAATCAGCAAGAAGGAAAAAGGCTACAGCACTGTCAGCCCATCAT